TTTATCAAATTATTAACATCCGCCTGAAACTTCGTGAATAGCTTCATCTCATCGTAACCTACAACTATTTTATTTACGAAAACTCTCGGAATTGGGGCGTTTTCAATCTGGAGTTCAGCAAACTTTGTCTATTTAATTAGGTCCTAAAAATTCGTATACACCCATTTGCTTTCCATTTGTATTGTAAGATAATTGTATGATTGATTGTAAGATGATTTGATCATAAAATCGAAAAAAAAAAGTGATTACAAAAATATTGAGCCGTTTGGACTGTACGACTCCGTTATTTTCACATTTTGAGGTTCTAGTTCACACCAAACGGCTCACGGGTTGTAGATCACGCCAAAAGCGAACTTTATTAGAAATATAAAATAAAAAAGAATTATTCGCGCGAACTAACTATTAAGAAAATAATTCAAAGTGGATGGAAAAATTGGACTTGCTTTGACAACTCGTATAGACAAAAAAAAAAAAAATCAATGTAGTTAAAATTCCTTTTTTCTTGGTTCTATTTTTTTTTTTTTATTTATGAATCCTTATTATTTACTATAAAATATTTTCTAATAGATACAACGAGAAGTGAAGGTCACGTGGACGACACCTATCCATTCCAAATGGGTTGTGCGTATCATATCTGCGGGCGATGAATGTTTCATAAGGCGGATCAAAGTCGTCGTCTTCTTTAATCATTCGGATGAATAATTGAGTAATCTCAATTCTCTTTCCCTTTCGGTGTCTTCGTAGCCATTACGTCTTCATAGAGGTTTCAATATATCACGGATTTTCTGATAATGAATTTTCCAATAAATCCAGAAACTTAAAGGCAGGTTCAAATGTGGCTGATGTCAAGTAATTTTTCATCAGACGTGGATTGACCATAGGGTCGGAAGACACTCCTGGTGCACACCCAGCCTCAGTAAAAAGGATACTCTCGAGTAAATAATTAATTAAGGTGGAAAACCTGGGTGTTGAACGTGTTTTCCGGCCCGATCACCTCCCTACAAAACCGTTGGTCTTGGATATCTGGGTGTGGATTAAATGTTTTGAAGAGGTTTTGAGCAAATATTTCAGATTTTTCTTCATCAGATCTATACCAGGTTTGGGTTTCGGTAAGAAGTGGGTGGTTAAAATCTTTGAATTTTAAGAGCTGTTTAGTGGTCAACCATAGTGATTTGTCAGTAGTTGTTAGATTTTCTGTTAAGTTAAGTAAACTTTGGATTTTGTATTTCCTAATTTCAGCTTTTAGTTGGTTAGTTAACTTGTTGTAATATGACTTGTCTGATGGGTATCTAGTCCTATGCCACTTCGATCTTGCTCTGCGTTTTTCTTTAATAAGATACGAATGTGCTGTGGCAAGTTAGTCTGTTGGGAGTTGTTATTTTTATTGGTTGATGTGTTATCGTTAATTTTGTCACTTATAGATGAAGTAAGTACCTCTATGGCTGAGTCAATGTCATTTTTCGTCTTAAGTGGAATATTTAGGTCCAATTTATCTTCCAAGTCTTTACAAAATTTGTCCCAGTTTACTCGTCCTGTGATAAGTGAAGGAGAAAAGCAGGGCTTAGGAACAAAAGTTGAGTGCAATGAAAGCAGAACTGGACTATAGAAGAGAAGTTATCCAGGGATTTGATAGTGACGTAGGAAGAGGAAATCTGGGAGGTGACAAATATGTCCAAGATATCAGGTCGTTTTTTGAGGGAGGTTGGCCAATAGGTAGGATTCATAGGTGAGAGGATGGAGTAACTATTAGAAGTTGAGACAGAAGATACTATCACGGGAGTTGGATTCTCCCTAACCTAACTTCAAATAAATAAAAACGTTTATTAAAGTTCAGTTCAAATAGGAAAAAATTGTGAAACCTTATATAGAAGAAAGTTTGTTTTTTTCCGCTTTTTTTTTAAACTGAAACTGTATATTTTTATTATGCCTTGAACATTTAAGTATTTTTTTTAACAAATGTTAAAAACAAGCAGGGCCTATGTTTGTAAGACTTTTGTTACAAAAGGACATCATTTGTTTCTCTGATGTCCATTCATAAAAGTTAATTTCCATCAAAACATAAAATTGAATCGCTTTTATTTCATGAAATGTCCATTTCTCTTACGCCTAAGTTTTTTTAGTAGGTGCTTTTAATATTAATAATCGCTTAAAAATCTCTATCGCTATCTCTGGACAACTTCTGTTGATTTTGCGGATATGAAACAAAATGAGGTAGGAGGGTTTTAAACCAACATGATATTTCATTATTAAAATTTATTTAGTAATAAGTAGGTCGTTGACGAAATTTAGATTAAATTTGAATTTACTATCTTATCACCGATGGGAAATCTGCGTCAGCATGTCTACAGTCAAGCGTTCATAATTTGGCGTACATCCAGGCAAAGATAATTTTAATGAATATTCAACATGTGAATTAGCAAGTAGGGTAGGGGGACCATGTTTAACTATTCCCCTACATTAAATATAAAAAATCATACTCACATTGTGAAAATGCCGCGCAAATTGTGGATTGTTAGCGTCAGATAAAATTCTATGAAGGTTGTACCATTTTTTAAACTCTATTATGTAAGTACATCCTCGACCTGTTGATTACAATACTTAGCCATTTTATTTGCTTTTTCATTCTAACAATGCATTTAAATATTCAATGATTTGACAGTTTTCTCGGAAAGCTTCATAAATAGCATATAATTTGATAATTTCAACTACGTTCTTAACCGTGGATTAAATCTTGGAGATTTAAAATGAATAAATCTTATTCTAAATCTGTACATCAATCTCTACTCCTTTATTGCTAATTCTATAAATTAAGCTGCATTTGGTAATGTTAAAAGACGCAAGCTGTGTTACTTTTATGGTTCCCTAGTAATAGTAGCATTGCTGGAAACGAAAAGCTAGATGAATTGATTGCGATAAAATGTATTATCAACAACTGATAACAAAGATTTAATATAATGGATCAAAGTCAAGGGATGGATGGAGTGGCAGAATGAATGGTTCAACGTAAGTTAGAATGAACTATGAATGGTGCAACAATTTGCAAAATGTCCCAAGAAGTATCCAAATTTGACACGAAGAGGTGGTACTTACCCTCCTCAGGATTAGCTACAGTAGATTCACCCATGATGGATGGCTATTTAATGACAAAAGATGAATCACCAACATGTGTTTGTTACTGAAAGTAAACTGATGTCGGATAGAGAGGAGCCATCTTCTCTGAAAAGTCTACAAAATATGAGACAAAGATCAGACACTGTTCCAATCTACTATCGTTTTAAATAGAAAAATGAGAGAATAAGAGATCAATATGGTGCAGCCTAAAGCTTCTCTAGTAATAAAGTAATTTTAAAAAAAAATATATACAGACTATCATTGGTAAACAAATATCCTGGTCTACTAGAACTATATAGTGTAAATGATTCTGATTGTCGAAACACTTAAACATATAAAAAAATCTTGGATTTTGGTTGGATGGTAGTTGAGGTCAAAAAAAAGAAGAAAAAAAAAGAAAACTATTTTATTATTTTGTATCTGCAAACATTTCGGCCTAGATTAAGTGCTAAGAGAAATTGAAAAATTGTGGGATAACTAAATATTCATGCCCTGACGCTTTGAGCATCAGCAATATAGGATGGACGGTCATTTTAATATTTTTAACAAACTTTTATGATTTTATTACTTTTGTTTTTTTTTCCCAATGGCTATTCAGTTTTTTATTTTAATTAATTTAAACAGTTTCGAAGCAAACATTGAAAAAATAAAATAAAACGATGTGAATACCACCACATTTCAAGCAAATTTAAAACATATTCCATGACAAAACTGACCTTGGGACATAATTTGTTTTCCGAATTCAGGAGTTTTTCTCTATTTATATTTATTTTTATCTCTAGTTACAAAATCATGGTATTTATAAACGGATGAAATGTCAAATTTGATTTTACTGATGATATCATTTAAGTTAGAAACCATCTCTTGTTTTCAAACATTTTATCTTCCAGTTTATTGTGAAGTATTTATGTGTTTGTGTGATTTTCGGTCTTTGAATCTGAAAAAATATACGTAGTATTGTTATAAGAATTTTAATGCTTCCTAAACTTTTCGAAACAGAATAGAATAAGAAATAACTTTATTCTGGGACGAAGTCCCTTAAGAATAATAAAAAATTACAGAAAAAAAATGACATCTGACCATATAAACTGTTACTTTAATTATGAAACATCAAAATCATAAACGTAAGTATGATTTAGGTGTATGGCATGTTTTGAACCCAGTCCCCTCCCCTCTCCCTTCCGAAGCTTATTTTAAAAAAAGAGAATCAACACAGACAAAAAAATTAATCGATTTTTAGAATATTACTTTAACTACAAATATAAACCGACTTCAATTATAATAAAATACAATGATTATTTTGGACTGCATTTTGGGTATCGAGCTGAAAATAGGTTTTTAACATTTTCATTTTAAGAATAATAAATGCATCAATTAATATCAGATCTGCTATAAAACTAAAAGAAAAAGAAAACCTTAACAAATCTCGAGGAAACATTTATTTTCTAATCAATAATATTAAATAGAAATTAACTATAATTATTATTCATTAAGTTTTTGTCACCTTTATTATTATTTATTATTTTATAGGTTTAAAATTAACTTTTCCACAATATTTTATACGTATATTCTAATATTCTCATTTCCAAAAATTTGTTATCAAATTTGTTTGAACAAACTTTTTTCTTGGTGCATTATCAAATTATTTTGAAGTTTACGTATATAGATACGTAGAATTTATCCATTTAAGCGTGTAAAATGTATCCATTTTTATCATTACTAACAACTGCAACGCTGAACCACTTTTCTTGCTATTTTCTTTTCTGGTATCATTCATAAATTAAACTTTAATATAACAATTGATGAATAATTGTTTTTTATATTATCTTTACCAATAATTGTGTCTTATTGTGATATTTTAATTATTGCAGATAAAACGGCGGAGAAGAATGAAGGAGGCGGCCAGGCTGACGGGATTGTTCCTCCTCATGTGTTGTGTGGCGTCTCCTGCGCAGGCGCTCACGCAATGCCTCAGGCTACCAGGTTAGTGTTACTATCAATTTTATATTTTATTTCTTAGATATTTTACTATATATGAACTCTGTTTTTTTACAAATAATATTAAAATGAGGGGAAAAGGTTAGTTCAGTGAATAGGCATTGTGCACCTATCCTCTCGAGGGCCCAGATTCGAGGCCGGCTGTGGCAGATTATTATTTTTTCTGTTTCACCAGCAGTGGATTGACAATGAGATCTGAACTCCCTTCTAGGGCACACCCAGCTTCTATGAGTTTTTTATATTTTTTATTAAACAAGGGAAGGTTACGGGCGTGGAGTCACCGATTTATATTTATTTTTTTCATAACATAAATTTACTGGAAGTGTCTATGAGTTTTTGTAATTTATTGTGTATAAAAATTCGTTTGATACAATTAGCAATATGTTTCCTTATTTTACATAAAAAAGAAAATCATTTGATGAATAACGACATAAAAATCGATGAAGATCAAAGTCATAAAACAGTTTTACAAAAAATTAATAAAACTTTATATATTATTTGTCTAGGCTCCTATGGCCCATTAGCAAGAATCTTTCGGACGTGGTCTAATATTTTTTGACCTAGTATCACAAAAAAAGTTTCATTGAAATCAGTGACCCGTCCGTAACATTTCCTTGAAGTAACGATAAGTACAACAATAGTAACCGCAATGCTTTAGCTACATTTAGTAACTAAAGAATATGCGTTATAATTAAAAAAGACATGTTTTAATTATTTAAGTATTTTTCACAGCTCCATATATCGTAGGAACAAATATGGACCAATGAAAAAAAAAAAAATTCTATTTGAAGGTGAGGCTTCAATCTGAAAGCCCCCAATAATGCCTTCAGTAGGATAAAAATCTCTAAGAGGTCAATATTTCCAACTAATAATTTATCATAGTATGAGCTTGGCAAAGATATTACTGGCTGTTACTGGGCCAAACTGAAACTAGTGGCGGAGATAAGAATTGAGATTCAGGTCATGAATCATTTAACGTTTAATGTTAATTGTTTGTTTTGTGATTTTTTGTTTTAAAAATTAACAAAAATATGCTTTTGTGCAGAAAATCCTCAATGTGTGCCAATTTTGTTAATCAAACATTCCATACTATAATAATAAAAAAATACATTTTTTTTTAATAAAAAATAGTATTTATTTGACCGCACTCCCCAACCAACTCCTTCTAATAAAAAAATCGTGTCAATAGAACTTTCTCTTCGTGGCTTAATTTAAACCTATCCAAAAAAATATGCAATTGCACTAATATCAGGTCTTTAATTATAATAATATTATGAAATGTTCCAGTTATTAGGTACGAGGGTAGCTACTGCTTGATAGTTCTATATGTCTTAAGGATTAAACAGTCATTAATAATTCTTGGAAAAATAATTGTTATTGATTTTATTCTTTATTTCAGAGGTAACACCGAAGAGGTTTGTCAACTTCCAAGGTCAAACGATAGAACTGACCCTCGGTGCCTCCGACAGAGTTGTTCATCGCCTAGTCACTCATGTCTTCCAGATCTTCCTCAGCGAAGTCCTTGGATACCCGGGTGTTCAGATCGTTAGGACCAAAGAATCAGATGTTACTGACATTTTTGAAAATCTTTCAGAAAATTTTGAGTATGTAATATCACTCTCATGCATGAACTTACATCATACTAACTAAATAATGGTAAATTTTGTTTTCATAAAGTGAAAATTGAATTTTTGGCCATACGATCTAACAACTAGCAACTTTACTCTCTTAAACTTTAATCTCAAAACTGACATAATAAACAAATATTTAAATTATTATATTAAAAATTGTAAAATGGACTTTGTACTAGTATGAAAATTTTATAGCATGATATTTTGAATAATTTGACAATATTTATTTATTTTTAATTATATTTTTTTAAGGATAGAAAAAAAATCGAAGATCACATAGAGTGATGTGATTTTTTTTCTTTCAGTTACCTATATATGAAATATATAGTTAGGGAAAGTATTGCGATCATGAAAATTTTCGAATCTGAGTTTTCAACGGAAATACACATTTTTAGGTCTCTTGAGTCCAAATAACCAAGCTCCACAAAATGGTCTGTGTGTGTGTGTGTGTGTGTGTGTGTGTGTGTGTGTGTGTGTGTGTGTGTGTGTGTGTGTGTGTGTGTGTGTGTTTATGTGTGTTTATGTGAACAGCCTAGCTCAAAAACGAAAAGTACGAAACTGAAATTACGTATTTAAGGTAGGTAAATGCCTGCGATGTTAGAGCAACTGTTTCGTCGAAATCGGCTAACCGAAAATGCGCGATAGATTTTACACATGTTTACCATTTTCTAGGCTCTAACGATTTTGATTAAACTCGGAGTATTGATGTGTAACTAAATGGTCTTAGGTATTATCTCCATAGATGTCGCTTACTTTGATAATTAGCTAAAGGAGAATAAAAGGAAATTATTTATTTAGACAGAAAAACTTTCTGGAAAGAACAGAATAGGTACGTATAATATATCGTTGGAAAGCTGAGAATTTTAGAAAAAAAAAATCTAACATACAAAGTCGTATTAGGTAATGGAGAGTGATTATAAAATTATAAATAATAATTTCTAAAAACTAATATTATTTAACGGAAATCGCATGTTTCCAACATAATCGATTTGTTATCAACAAAATAATGTAAACTTTAATTTAAGCTTTTATTAATTAAATGTAAACTTATATTAAGTTATAAGTTTACATTAAATGAAATTTTAAAACTAAATGTAAACTTTAAAAATTATTTTCAAATATGAAAAAAAGTATATAAAATCCACCGGAATGAAGGAAACCACATTTTTTAAAAACTATTTCATTATAATTGTGTGAAAGAAGATGTGAAATATAAATATATTTCATAAATGTGTAAAACACCTGTTATTCACATTAAATATATTTACTGTGAGATTTTAATAACTCTTGATTCGATATTATATTTAAATATTTAGGTACTATCGTCCGTTTATTCCGAATAATCATCATGTAACCTTTCAGAAAATTAAATTAATGAATAATTTGATTAATTTTCCCTTTTTTGAAAGCACCACATTATCCACTTACAATTAGTGTGACAAATTTTAACCTATCAAACAGGCAATGAAAATCTCATAATTCAATTTTAGTAAACTTTACAATGGAGAAAGGAGTTTAATAACTAATAGTTGTACATTCCAAACTCTCTAGGCATATATAGCTCTGGTACTGGAATTATGTGGTTCAAAGAAACAGATGGAGGTTTTTGCTGTGCACCGTCCATATAATAAATAGGGTTTGTGTTACTTAAATGCCCTTATTAAGTCGTTACAGGTTAGCTGTAAGGTTTAAGGTTTATCTCCGTACACTAGCGGATTCAGGATTTAATTTGAGGGGGGAGGCTTCAGCCCGAAAGATTTTTTTTCATATATATAACGATAATTAATTTTTAAAAAAAGAAGAAAGAAATGAACTACCTATATGAAATGGTGTTTAAGTGATTCTTGAAGTCCTATTAAATGTAATTACACGAACAATAATACTTTAAGAGATAGTTTTTAATATTTTTTTCTATAAAACATGGTTATATTTTACCATTTTGGGGGGGGACTTCAGCCCGAAAGCTCCCCCCCCCCCGTAAATCCGCCTGTGTCTCCGTAAATAGCCCAACATTGCTAGCATATAATGTCTATTCAAAGTAGAGGAGTAAGGGAATGTTGTATGATGCGCGCACCAGATTTTTCTGTCCTGGTGATGCGAAATTTTGACGGGTTATTTGATTTCAGACTTGTATTTTAGATACATCCAATTGTAACCTAACATGTATTTTCTGTCTCTTGATGAGTTTTACTCGTTTACATTAAACTACTAACTGGCCAGTGCGAATAATTTGCAAAAAGTATAGGTCAGCGAAAAATTGACAACATACTATAGAAATAGTAGGCCCGTTTGAATAATTCGCACAGTATGTTCGGTGAACAAATGACAAAAGTATTTTTTTTATTCTCAGTCGAATCACATTCGTCCGATCAGAATAGGCTGTGTCTTTGTTAATAATGGTCCAATGTCCATGATTTTTATTTGTTTTGTAGGAAATTTAGTAAATTTTCAAATAATGATAGCTCTAATCCAGCAAAAAAATGTTTACCTTTTAATTTATTCGCAAATAAAGTTTCTATTCATTCATAACTTCTTTTCCTGAAATTTCGAATGGATGTTATTATGATTCGTCACTGATCCATTTAATATCCTTTGTTTGATAGCTCATTCGTTAAAATACGTCGCTCCTGAGAGCCGGAAAAGTGATCGTTACAACAAAAAACTATCGTATGATATTATAAAGATAGATTTTATAATCATAATCTTCTTTGGTAAATTATGAATTAAATTCTTGATATGCACAAAGCTCATTGTGAGTAATCTTTAAATAGTATTACCTTCATTGAAATGGAAGAAGAGAATTAATTGTCTTAATTACTGATCTAGGATTGCACTCAAGGTATTGCGATTTCGAAGAGTTGGAATAATCCCTTAGCAAACAGCGACTTGCCTCGTGCCTGGTTTTATCCTCGCAAACAACTACCTGTCACAATTTATTTGTACAGTATAAAATATAATATACCACAGTATATTTGCACAGTAGAGGCGATTTGAGCTAGTTTATACCCTTTGCATTGTTTTTTTTCTTCTTCATCCATTTAATCGTTAGACTAAAATAACCCAAAACAATCTTATTTTCGCTAAGTTCAAAAGTGATTTTTTAAACAAATTTTCCATAGTTTTTTATTATTTATACACAGCTCTCATTTTCCTAAGTTAACGAATCCTCTTGAATGTAATTTTAAGTAAGTTTTTGAAAGTAATGCTTGAAAAGCGAGTTCTTATAGGCTAATGTGAAAACAAGAAATGCAATTTTTCGAAGAAGGATCGCTTCTATTTATTTGTCTTTATCTTTCAAATTTAAGATAAGAATTATTGTATTTTTAATCTATATTTTTTTCTCTTTTTCATATTTTATTATAACGAGTTTTTTGTATGAAACATAATACCAAAAGTGACATACCTCACTTCTGGTAAATGGAACCACCACTAAATCGTTCATGTTAAATACTCAATCACTTATAGAATGGTATTTTTGAAAAATCAAAATCGATTTTGAATTCATTTTGCAGTTTGCTTTGGTATGTAGATGAAATTTATATTTGTTGATGGAACATTCAATTGATATCAGTGGCATAACTTGAGCACACTGTGCAGATTTATTTTTGATACATCCACAAAAAAAAAAAAATAAATAAATTAAATTCAAAAGCATTGTTTCATCGTATTTATATATTTTCATCATCATTTTCCGCTAGGATGTGTAAGTCAAGCAACATTATAAAAATATTATGGCTTTATATTTTTTTATGAATCAATATAAGAAATAAGTACAAAGTGACTTATTATTTTGTAATTACAAAATATTTTGTAATTACAAAATATTTTGTAATTTGTAATTCAAATTCAATTATTATTTAATATTATTTTATCACATAATATTAATTTTTTTTTATTTAATTAGTTCTGTACCACAAAATCTTCCCAATAAATACATGGTTAATCTGGAAGTTTGGTTACCACCGGATCTGAATACCATTCATCTTTTGGAAACAAAATCTGTCAAAGAATGTGGAAATATTGCGCCTCCTGGAAGGTTTGTTGTATTACTTTACTTCATAAGTTAAATAATTTTATGGCTATTAATCATTACCTTTTAAATTTACTAGATATTTTATTAATATTCATTATTAGACAAAGGATTACTTAAAAATTTAATATACCTCTCATATTTGATCTATTAATTTCTATTTTGATTTAAATTCTTTTTTCAGTTCATATAATTTTCTTTAATATTTTATTGTATCATAATTATTATAAAGTTATTAGATATTATTCATTAGTAATAATGATTATATTTATTATCTATTTTTGTTATTATTATTTTATTTCAACAATATTGTTTTTCTTTGCAATAAACATGTGTTTAATATGGAATTTTTAATAAAATTAAAAATGTTTCAAGTATTCATTTCTAGTTTTTTATGCACATCTTGATTTAGCTTTGTCTATTTAGCAAGTACTTCATATACGTTTTGATTATAACGTGCCTTGTTGTCCCTGCTGCAAAGGTGCTAAGAAGTAGTGGAATATCTAAGAAGTAGGTTGTTCTACGATATATTAACAATATATTAATGTGATATATTATCACCCCATAGAATGATCACAAAGTTAATAATTCATTTATATTCAGGCCAAGACTGATTCTGCTATGAGGAGTGCTCATGATCATTCACCAATTTCCTTTTGAAGTTCTCTTTGTGATTATGCCCTGTTGCATTCTATTTCATCATATGGATTGAGTATTTAGTTTGTTAGCATTCAGTAATGAGTTGGATTTGGTATTAGATTGAAACATGTGAAAATGATATTTTTATTATGGCATAGGGATGTGGCGACCCTATCGCCCAGTCATCTGACTGCAATCAGCCACTGGCCCTCCAAGTTGGAGGAAACCCAATGTCGAGGGGTATAGCCCGGCCACCCTTCCTTCTGAGGGACATAAATATTCTGGAGGCCAGTTGTCTCGAGGATACAGGGCCTCTCCTACTGGACCAATCACCCGTAGTAGAGCTCAACTTATTCAGAAAATGTGTAAAATTATACATCTTTAAGTCCATATATTTTACCTACGCTTATTTATGGAAGTGAGAGCTGGGTCTTGGTGGACAGGCACTGGAGAAGAGCTACCGCTGCAGAAATGATGTACCTCCGGAGAATAGCAAGCAAAAAAAGGAGGGACAGAGTTAGGAATGAAAGGATACGAGGAGACCTGGCAGTTCCAGCTTTGAGGAAAACAGTCGAAAAGAGGCAGTTGGGATGGTTTGGTCATCTATGCAGAATGGATTAGAACCGTGATCCAAAAAAGTTTTTTGAGGCCAGACCTATCGGACGCCGTCCTTGAGGAAAGCATAGATTGCTGTGAATAGACCACATCTTCAGGATTGGTGACAACCCTATCAATTCAATGAAAGCGCTGGCTTGGGATCGGGACACCTCCATGCTGAGAGGCACTAGGGAGGATGATAAAGAAGAAGAAAAAGAAGATATTTTTATTCATAATAATTTCCATTAGCTCCAGTTTATACCAATGTCTAAAAAGGTTTTGTATGCCTTGTTCATAGAAACTTTTTGGGTTTTCATCAGTGAACTCAAAATTTTGACTTGTTTTAATATGTATTTTTTAAAAAACTGAATTCCTTTGAAAAAATGGTTGTCAGTAGGAAAAAAAATTAGGTAAATGTTGATGAATGTGGTGGAATTTAATTTTCAGTTCTAGCAATGTATCATGTTTCTTAGTTAACCTAGAACAATAAACAGTTCTTCCATGCTCATGATATTTAACTGATTGAGTCTCTAACTGGCTACCATTTTTTTCAGAAGGTTTGATGGATCTTCATAGATTAATATATTCCAAAATGAAATTTTCATTTCTGAAGTTTGTTGGTTAAAAGACTAAACATTCCTATGAACAAGGGATAAAAAACATCGTTGGATGTTTGAAAAAATGTATTGATGAAGCAAACAAAATTTATTTTTATTGTAAATAATGTTTTTAACCTTTATTTCTGTTTTCATTTATATTATGAATGAAATGAGACTTTACATGCTCCAACTCAGCATACCTATGTAGAAACTCTTTTTTTTTTTTTCACAAATGTACACTAATAGAATTGAAATTTTAAGTATTACCACCCTTTCACCTTAATTAATTCTCCAACTATCAGTTCATGTTTTATTATTTCCATACACACTTTTATATCCATATTGTCTATTTTTTTTTCATTGCAATCATATTGATGTACCCTCTAGGAGGTTCCCTTTGCTCATAAATAGATAAAAGTGAATATGCATAAACCGAATTGTTATTTCAATATTTTAAAAATATTTCTCCAAAATAAGACAGTAATGCTATTCCTATCTTTCCTTATTATCAGTTCTCCTTCCATTTGTTTTTACTTATATTTTTGCCAAACAAGTAAATATTTTACTAGGCCCTGAATATCAATGTTATGTTAAGGCACAATCGCACTTGTGGCCATTATGAATTTGAAAATGCTGGCCCAATCTCTGAACCAACCTCCAGTATTTGATGATCATAGGTCAATGATACTGCTCACATTACTTAAATTTTCTATTATTAGCATTATTTTTTAAAAATAAATCATAATTGCAATTATTTGACAAGCTTTTTTAATATGTTTTTTGCTTTTTTTTTTCATTATGTTTTCATAATTGCTAGATATATACATCTGAGTGCTGTCAATAAAGTTGTTATCTAATGGAGTTAACTAATATTAGAATTTCTTCATTTTAGATATAGCTGGTTTATACCAAAGAATTTGTCCAAACCAGAATATGAAGATTGGAGAATTTTTAAGCAACCAGAAAAAGCTAAGCTGTTTTCTTTGACAGAAAATGAGAGGATTGGCTTAAAAAAGTATACTTTGTCACCAGATAATAAAACCAACGAGTAAGACATTTTCTTAACATTATACAGTTACTTAATTGTAACAATTAACATTAGAGAAATTAAATTTTATTATTTTTTGTTATTTTCTTTGTAATTATATAACGTTTTTTGCTAATTTGTAATCCTACTGAAGGCAAGAAACGTGATTCATATTATAATTAAAGATACATTTTAACATGGATATGCGATTAAAACTTTTATTTATTAAAATCATTTAAATAAATAATATTCAAAATAAATGTATGAATGAAGAGAAGAATAGTTGGGGTGCTCAGTCAAAAAAGGAAGGCAAAAAATAAATTATAATATTTATTTTTTACATATGCCGACGTTTCGACCTGAAGTTCAGGCCTTCATCAGGGCTTTCTCCTTAAGTGTCAAGGGGAGAATCATGTAAGCCTTCATTTTCTCCTTGACACTTAAGGAGAAAGCCCTGATGAAGGCCTGAACTTCAGGTCGAAACGTCGACATATGTAAAAAATAAATATTATAATTTATTTTTTGCCTTCCTTTTTTGACTGAGCACCCCAACTATTCTTCTCTTCATTATCCACGACAGTCAACCAATTACCAATTATAAATGTATGAATATAATAAAATGGTATAATTATTATTTTAAGGAAATACTACTGCTCTGAAAAGTACTGTAAAAATGGATTTTATACTCCAGATAAGTGTAGAGGAAGATCCTGTGCAGTTCTTATTACTACTTTTACAGGTTAGAAAAATATTTCTTTCTATTTACGAACAGTGTAATAAAAGAAAATAATAAAATGATTAGTAATCTAATAACATGATTTCATAGGAGTTTAGTAATACTAGAAATATTGCATATAAAATATAAACTATTATTAATTTGACTATAAATTAAACACAATATGATCAAAAGAGAAAACTTGAATATTCTCTAAAACAGAATCTTAGACAATTAAATTTACGATATTGGTTGTATAAAATGTTATGAATTGCTGACAATTTTTATTTTTTACTATTAATTATATTTAAAAAAGATTATTAATTAAAATTAAATATAATTTTTTAGTAAATTTCTAATTTCTAATAAGGTTAAAATTTCCATTTTTAACTTTTTTTTTTGTGTAGCTTAAGATTTAATTATTTAATTTTATTGCTATTACTAAGACATTATTTATATCCCATTAAGTTTCAAAAATTATATTAATCCATACATTAAAATCTTTAATGTTTACAATATGGCAGTATATAAATAGATCCCTTTTCCAGCTCTTTGAAGCAATCAATTTTGACTAATGAGATGTTGAATAAAAAGAGATTCATGGAGAAGTGACAAATACTATCTTTGATCCTTCAATTTGTACTTCAACTTTAAAAATGTCATTAAAAGAATTAGATGGTTTCAAAATTCAGACAAATTGTGATATATAGATTTTGACATGAACCTCAAGAACTGCTAATGTTCTTCATGCAAGCCCTGAAATATACTGTTTTTGAAATTTGTAATTCTTTCTAAAAGCCTTCAAGACATCACAGTTGCTATGGGATACTTACCACATATTATTTAGGTTTTTGAAAATTACTATAATCTTATTTATAATGTATTTGTCCTTGACGAACTAAAAATCTATTGAAAAGGCAAATGAAAGAGAATAGTTCAGAGATCCATTAAGCAACTCAGGTAATATAGAAAATAACTCCTTGATATTTTTTATAAAAACAAACACTTTGCGGACATGCATTAATTTTCTTAATTAATTCTTGGTTGTTATCATCGAGGTCTGGCTTCTGTATTTCATACTTAATATGTGAGAGAACTACTAGCCAAGGCTCTTCTGCACCAACACAATAAATCTCAACATAGACAATACTGAGTTAGTGTAAATTTATGAATATCTGAGCTTTATTGCTTAACTAATGAAGGGATATTTTTCAATCGGTAAGCGTTAAGTAAACACTTCAACATATTCATAGAATATGATTATTCACCAATTTCATCTGTTGAATAGACTTTTTAATGTCATAACATTTTAATGTAATAATGTTAATGCTCTTCTTGTTTTTTAAGTTGGATTCTAATATCCAAGATTTAATATTAACTAAGTGAAGATAGCCCCAAACAGAACTGTGACATAGATATGGATTTATATTCATGTATAAAAAAAAAATTTTTTGTATGAACTACCAAGTAAATAAATAAATATGCTATTGGCCTGTTTTGTAAATTCAGAGTTACAGAAAATTTAAGGTATTATGAAGCCTGTTTTAGAAATGTCATCTAACAAATGAACCTATACATTTTTTTAATTTTTATGGCAAGTTTTCAAGAACCTCCATTGATTTGTACACGCTTTTTACTTTTACTTTTAAGGATCCTACTCCCAGTATAAAGTTTGTTTTTCTATTCTATTGTGTTTAATATTTTATTTATTTATGTATACCTTATATATATCAACAAATATGTTACTTTCAATTAATTAGAAAAATATTATTTTCAGGTGATACTGGCTTTGTTGTCAAAGATATTGAAAAGTTTAATTTATTGGTTGAGGTGGTTTGGGTAGGGCCTCATTTGAGAACTGTAATAAGTAATCTCAAATCACGCTCTAGAGTAGATGGAACATCATTAGTGTTTCTTACCCACACACCTTCTGTGCTGACTTTAGGCAGTGAACATGCTTCAGTGAGTTTTCCTCCTTGTGATGAATATTCGAACAATGTCAGCTGTCATTATTCTAGTGTCCGTCTTGTTAAACTTGCTTGGTCTCACTTGGTAACTGCTGCAAGACCAGCATATGAGGTATGAACTTAATTTTTTTAATTAAAAAAATTTTTTTTTACAATTACAGTTCTAATTTCCTAGTTGTAAAAGATGGATTTTTGATATATTTAATATATTAATTAAGACAGTATAACATTAAATTTGGGACCAATAGGATCCTGATTAAGGAGGATATGGGATTTATTCCTATCTGAAATTATTTAAATTCTCTAGAATAGGAACACTCAATAGAAAGAGGCATGAGTACAGCACAATGGGTCTTTGCAAAATAGTTTCTATTTATCAAATAAATTTTGTGACATCAAACAAAATTGTTCACAAAAATACATCAGGATGTTCTTAAAAATTGGTGTATGAAATCCTATTTTATTAAATCATTATTATTCCAAAAATTAAGCTATAACTCAATAAAAATAATTACTTATTATTAATTACTACTAATAAATAGTTGCAATCATTGTTATGATTAATAATCTAGATTTATATTTATTGTGATTGTTTGAAATTTATACATATAACATATTTTGTTACTTTTTCCAGGCCCTTCAAAAAATGGAGTTAACTACTGATGATTACAAAGATCTTGTTGAAGATTATTTAAACACTGCAGATATGGCTCAAGTTGCTTGCAATTGGATGAAAAGGCATAATGATACTTTTGATAGTTGGAGGCAATGGATGCCAAGTGATGATGAACGGAATGAATTGTATATTGGTGGAATTTTTCCTTTGACGACTAATGAGACAAATAGTTACACTGCTAGAGGAATTGTTGTTAGTAAGTAATTATTTTATATTATAATGATGTCAACGTAACTATCTTATTCATTGAAGGTCATTTTCACAACTATTTTTCTTACTATTTTATTTAAACCTTTTTTTAACTAAAGAAAAGTTATGGTATTCTCTAAATGTGGTACTCTCAAACCTCTTTCAGCTCTACCTAATAAAAATGCACTTGTAAAATCTTATCAAATAAATTTTAAACTAAATATGCCATTAGAACCTGAGACCTTGAGTATTGGAAGCTCATGCCTAATCACTGAGCTACTCCATTCCCTAAGCCAACTTCTTTGGTAACATTAAATGTTGCCAACACTGCTCCCTCCATTTAACCCCATTGAAAGTTGAATTTCCAAGATCAGTTCTTAGCACTATCACACAAACAACAAATTTTCTTACTGCTTTAATTTATCAAAGCACTTTAATAAAATAATTTATATTCAGTGAGTGTAGGTTCCATAATTCCAATTTGTAGTAATCTGAATTTTCTGCTTACCTACTCGTCGTTCTGTAGGGTGAATATTTAATTTTCTTATGTTATTATAGGTGCACTTATGGCCATTGAAGCAATTAACAGCAATACTCAAATCCTAAGAGATTACAAGCTGAAATTGTTGCTAGATGATGGGCAATGCCAGTCTGACGTCGTTATGAAAACATTCATTGATTATATACTTATGAACAGATATGACAGATTAGTTGGAATTCTCGGTAATTATTAATATTATAATAGAAACTTAGATATTTCATCTTATATATAAGTTCTCTTTACAGATTTTTTTTTTCTTTTTAAAATTAAGAGGTGTCGAGCATGACATATCTGTGTGATATATAATTTTATTTTATTTTGTATTAATTTTGATTTAAGCTTCTTAAGCAAAGAATCAGTGTAAGAAGATTTTACAGTCTTAGCTGGTTTAGTTTTAAGCAGCTGTTTTTATCTTTCTTACAGAGGAAGAGCAATAGCAGGTTTTAAAAATATTTTTTATATCATTTATAATAAATCAGAGTGAGCTTTTTTACTTCCTCATTTTTTATGTAATTATTTATGTGACTATAAAGCAGAAGTAAGGAAGTAAAAAGTTCACTACGTTTTAGTTCCTGAAGACTTCCAATAAAATATAAATTTAAACATTCATTTATTTATTTTTCAAACAGATAGTAAGTTCTCTTAGTTTCCAGAAGACCTGGAACTACCAAAATCTTGTCCTCCCAGGATAATTATATTTTACTTTCTTAGAGCTTATAGAACTTTATATGGATGGAAAAAAAAAAAAAATCTTGGTATGAAAAAGTACGTTCTCCAAGTATGGTAGACACTTGATCATTCGTCGTTGAAGGAACTGAAGATTTGAAAATCATTTAGTCATAAAATGAAAAAAAGGAAATTACTATGTTATAAATAAATAAAAAAAGGAGCATAAAAAACATTGTATTTACATTATCTTAGTTAGGAGACAAACAAGTGCCGGCCTTATGTTGGGGCAACCAGGACAATTGTTCCAGCACAATTCAGAGCCGATCTTCAGGAGCCTGCCACTTGTTAGAAATTAAAAAATGTACAAACATTAAAATAATTAATTTTAGTCTCAATAAAGCAACTGTATTTTAGAAATGTTTAATGAAATAATAAAATTCAAATATTACATAATATAAATCAGCTTGAGAAATAAATTAAATTTTTTAGGAGGAAGGAAGATGACGTCATTGCCCGGGGTACCGAATGTCTTAAGGTCTATGAAATTAGGAAAACACTTATAAATATTTCTCCTGATTTCATAAGAGCTACAAAAACAAAGCAAATTACCAACCCCTAATATAAAGAAAGTTTAAAATTCATAATAGTCCATGCCATGGATGCCTGAAACTTTTTGAATAGCTTCATCTCATCTTAAACTATAACTATTTATTCACAAAAACTCTTGGAATTGGGATCTTTTCAATCTAGAGATTGGCAAACTTTGTCTGTTTCAATAGGTACTAAAAAAATCTTAAATACCCATTTGTTTTCCATTGACTCGTAAGATAATTTTATTACGAAATCAAAGAAAACAGTGGCCTATAAAAATATTAGCCCGTTTGGCCTGTATAACCTTGTTATTTTGACAATTTGGGAGTGTAGTAGGTCACACCAGATGCCTCAATATTTTTTAAGACTCACTTTTTTCATGACTTTGTGCTCAAATTATCTAGTACCTGATTAAATAGACAAAGTATGCCGACCTCAATATTGAAAACACCACAATTCTGAGAATTTTAGTAAATAAAATATTTGTGATGAGATGAAGCTATTTATGAAGTTTCAGGCGGATGTTAATAATTTGATAAAAAGGGATCTGTACCACAGACTATGATTTATGTGAATGATCTTTTGAGGGAAAATGAGAAGACCAAATGAAGTAGTATTTTAAACAGAGATACAAAGGAGACTGTGGTCCCAATTGTTATTATTAAGAAACTTATGAAGTTTTCGTATTTCAACTGTATATGGTTTCAATATAACAGTACAGGACTTTGTCATCCCTGGGTCACTGTAGGGGAGAAGGAAATAAAATAAAAATCTAAATATCTTATTGAATTGAATAAATCAATTTTTTTTTTTTTTTATCATTTATATACATTTCTGTATAATATATATTTCTTGTTCATAAAATTACTCATTCATTAACAGGTACTTTATGTGCTGTTTTTCCCCATAAATTTTGTAAAATTTATTCCTCCCACAAACAACTTTTTTGGTCATAGCATTTATTTGTTAAAATGCCTTATTTTACCTATAATATGAATGTTGATTCATATATTATTGTATAATGTTATATATACATACTATTTAGTTATAAATGAATTTTCGTAAGTTATTAAAGTAATTTTATAAAGACCATTCAAATATTACCTAGTCCTGTTCTATGAAAATTTTAATTTAGTTTTTAAGCCACAGGAAATTAGTCTCAAAGCTCATTATAAAGAAAGATGCTACTATCATTAATCTGTCATTTCATTAAACAATTGTGTTACGAGATTAAAATGGAAGAAAATTCTAAAAAATGTTCACAATTAATTTGAATAGAACTTTTAAAAAAGAAAATTCTCTTTTTACACAAGTTTAAAATTGGAAAAAAAGTTTTCTTTTTAATAACTGTTTGATTAAATGAAATGGTTTTATATTATTTAAACTCCTGTCATGTCGGGTGAATTTTAATTTCTTCTGGTATCTACTCTATCCATTATGTTGAACATTTATATTATTTATTATCAAATGTATTTTTTAACATTAACATTAATAACCATTAAAAAAATAATAACAATAAAAAAAAATAAAATAAAAAAACGTGAGCAATATTATTTTCTGTTAAAGGTCCAGCTTGTTCAGATACTGTAGAACCACTTGCTGGAGTATCAAAACATTTTAGAACAGTCGTCATCAGTTACAGTGCCGAAGGAAGTATTTTTTCAAGGGATAAGTATCCATACTTTTTCCGAACAATTGGTGAAAACAAAAATTACAAGTAAGGTTTAATTTATCACATTTTGTATTTTATCAATTAGTTAATTAAAATTAAATAAAACAATTTTTCTGGGCAGTTTAGGTCCTGATATTTTAGTAATTGTTTTTTTTTTTCTTATGAGAAATAATGATCTGTGTCCTCCTTTTGAGTACCAGAGTGCCAAACCATTAATAGAAGAACCAAGTAAAGAGGAACTTGAAATAGCTATCAGAAAATTAAAATCTTATAAAGCAGCAGAGACCGATGATATTTCTTGTGAACTAATTAAGGCATGCGGGGAAGCTGGAGTTTCTAAAATGCATTTTTTGGTTAAAAAGATCTAAGTGAATGAGAAATTGTCTGAAAAATGGAAAGAATCCATTCTTATTCCGATTCACAAAAAGAGCCCGAGGACGGATTGTAATAACTAAAGAGAAATTTCACTCTTTTCGGTATGTTATAAAATATTCACATTAATCTTAACTAATCGAATCACGGAATACACCAAGGAAATTATTGAAGACTATTAATGTGGGTTTAGGCGGAACCGTTCGACTATTTATCAAATATTTTCTTTATGACAAATATTAGAGAAAAAATTAGAGTACAACAGTGTTGTTCACCAGCTTTATATTGATTTCAAAAAGGCTTATGATTCCATTGACTGCCAGAAGCTATATAATATTCTAATTGAGCAGGGGATATCAAACAAATTAGTGAATCTAGTTAGGATGTGCTTGACAGAAACACTCAATAAAGTTAGAATCGGTTATTACTTATCCGAGAAATTTGAGGTTCGTTCCGGCTTATAACAAGGTGATTCTCTTTCACCTGTCCTATTTAATTTGACTTTAGAACATACCGAAAAAGGTTTGAACCTGAGTGGAATAATATCCGTGCTTGGGTATGCTGATAATTTGTTACTGTTAAGCGAAGACATGGAAAAAATAAAACTAAATACAACAACGTTGATGAAAGCCAGTAAAGAACTAGGACTCGAGATAAATACAGATAAGACTAAATATATGGTTAGCTGCAAAAATAGCGCCAATTTTGATGATATCGATATAGAAGGAAATGTGTTTGAACATGTACAGAATTTTAGGTATCTAGGGTCTATGGTAACTAGAAAAAAACGAAATTGAAGAGGATATTAAGTTAAGGTTGAAGACGGAGAAAGCTTGTTATTTGTCTTTGTCAAAACTACTTAGTTCTCGCCTCCTGTCCCGAAACTTAAAAATTAGAATTTACAAAACCATTATCTTCTCTACGGTTCTTTATGGATGCAAAACGTAGCCACTTACATTAAGGGATGAGCAACGTCTTAAGATTTTTGAAAATAAAGTCTTGCGCAGAATATTCAGACCGAAAAAGGACTAGTCAACCGGAGAATTTAGGTGATCGCACAACGCTGAATTGCATGAACTGTATTCGGCTAATATAATTGAGATGATTAAGTTAAGGTGATTAAAATGAGCATGTAAAATCGCTGGGCTTAGTCATGAAAGAATGAAGTTTATATGCGCTTTACCAACTGGCAAGCGTCCGAGGGGTATACCAAAGCGAAGGTGGGAAGATTGGGTTAAGGCTGATGGCTGGGTTGGGCTTAGACGGAGCCCGATGGATGGAAGAGTGTGACATCGATTAGTGGTATCGGCATCAAACCTTCGGGTTCGCTAAGCCTTATTATTATTTGTTTTTTGCTTACAAACTACAATTTGTGGACAGTATTACTTTTTTGTTTAACGAAAAATGAAAATTGCTGTAAAATTACATTGAATGTTTGTTGAAGCTTGTGATGAGCATGCTTTTGGTATTCCACAGTGCTTTGATTGATTTAAAAATTCAAAAGCTGTGATTTGGATGTGAGAAATGAAAAACTTTGAATTTGGGTGTGCTTTATTTTGAGTTGCTAAAACCTTGCAACATCATTAATACTAAATGTTATTTATAATGAATGATCGATTTGAATTGAGCATAGCATAAAAATCGGCTGAATATCAAAAAAGACAACACAAAGTGAATTTGCTTCGAGATAATGCACTAATACACAAGCGAAACCAGTGAAGGAAACAATTGAGGTATTCATTTGGGAAATATTAGCACATTACTCACCAGATTTGGATTTCATCTGATTACTATTATTTTAATCGAGGGAACACACACTGGATAAGTATCACAACATTTAAATCAACCTTACATTGACAGAGTGCTGACGATGTACAACACTCATGTTTGTTCTTTCAAAAAAAAAAAAAACAGTGATTTGAACTGTTAATTTTAAAAATAATATGTTTATAGCTATAGATAAAGGCATTATGATATAACTTTAGTTATAATTGTATTAAATAAAATTATATAAATTTTATATTTACTCACCGAGTTATTATTTTTGATTATTTAGGTATGTTTACCTGAAACTGTTAAAACAATTAGAGTGGCAGAGAGTAGCATCCCTTACAGAAGATGGGACAAAATATACGGAATACATCTCGCACACTCAAGACTTGCTTCAAAGAAATGGAATTTCTTTTGTTGCTAATAGGAAATTTCCTCATGATTGGGAAAACGATGCCATGAAACAGGTTCGTTTTTCTTTTAATACTTTACAGCTCGTTTAAAAACATTTATTAATACTAATAACTTGGAGATTGAGTGTTGAATATATTTATTTTTTATCTGGATAGCATTTTATAATTTTCCTACTGCTACTAGGTAAGGAAGGTATTGCAATCGGGTCAAATTTGAATACCAAAGCCTGTGAAACTAATTTGTGGCTCCCTGCACAACAGCGGCTGCGCAATAAGAGGAAAACATGATTTTCCATAGACTGTCACAAAAAAGTGGCTCTAATGCTTTTGATTAACCTTTTTCATAATCTTCTACTTAAAAGTCATTTCAATTTCTATACATGTACATTTCTATACATTAACAAGAAAATTCAGGAGAAAAATGTTTTGGGGCCTTACTGAATGTTAACACCCCAATCTACATATTTTCTTTATTTAATTTTTTCTTACTATTTATCCTTTTAGAATTCTAATTGGATAAAGTAAAGGTTTATTACTTTCACTTATGTATATATGTAATATATAGTAAGTGTAAGTATTGCGATTGAGAAAATTTTTGAATCTGAGTTTTCGACGGATTTATACGTTTTGATGTACCCTGAGTCGAAATGACCAAGTTCCGAAAAATGGTCTGTGTGTCTGTGTGTTTGTATGTTAGCAGTCTAGCTCAAAAACGAAAAGTCCTATGAAACTGATATCATGTATTTAAGATAGATATATGCCTTAGTTGTGACAGCAACTTTTTCCTTAAAATCGGCTTACCGGAAGTGCCACTTTATATCAACGCTGAAACACATTTTCACAATTTTCTCAAAAATGACTAACAATTTTGATTAAACTTGGTGTATCATTGTATAATTAAGTAGTCTTTAATATCAATTAGGTCTTATCTCCATTGATGTCACTTTACAGGGCTTAAATGCCCAATGTTCATATACGTCTTCCTCTAAAGTACCTTTAATATGGTTTATTTTAAAAAGTTAATTATTTCACATTATTCAGAGTTACGAAAAAATGCTAAATATAACTTTTGAAAGAATTTGATAAGTTAATAAAGGAGAAAAAAATAAAAATGCAGGAAAACCTGCATAGCTATAGACTGTAGCGCCTAAACGAATGTACCGATCTCATTGAAACTTCGCTAAAGTCATTTTCTCGACACCCTTCAAATTTATCTATATAACATACTTCAGTGAAAAGAAGCTGGAAAAAAAGTTACGAGGGATGGTAAAATTAAATTCCGAATAACTCGAAAAGTATACACTTTTTTGGGAATGTTGTATATGGTTTTCTAAAAGTTTATGGAATAGCCTAAAAAACAAAACAAAAAATCGTTAAAATCGGACAATTAGGAGATAAGATATGTTCTCTAGTTTTTTTAATACGTTCTGCTGCAAAGATTATATCCTTTGTTTCGCTTTTTGAATTTTGAATGTATTAATTAGGTAATGCTAATTTTTTTTAGCATATTACTAATGATTATAAAGAAAAGTTTAGTCTATTAATTGGAATCACTTTTTATTTATTTTTCTTTGTAACTAGGAAGGTAATGTTACTTTAGATGTATAATTGTTTGCAAATAATATACCATTGTGAAATAATTAGCAGCTTTGTAAAATATAAATATACAACATAAAGATATAAAACTTTTGAAAGAATCTGATAATTGAATAAAGGAGAAAAAAATATATAAATACTTATACAGTTCAAAAATAAATCTCTGGAAATACAAGTCAGAAGTATACTTATAATATATCATTGGAAAGCGGAGAATTTTAGAAAAACAATATCTAATATAGCAAGTTGTAGAAGGTAACGGAGAGCGGCGAAAAACTTATAAGTAACAATTTTTGAAAACTGATAATATTTAACGATGTAGAGATGGTTGACCGTTGATATAATATGAGAAGGAGTTAGTCGAGGGTGTGGTCAAATAAATAAAAAAATTAAAATATATAAATTATTTAAATTTTTGCCGACGTTTCGACCCACTTTGCAGGTCGTCTTCAGGGCTACAAAAGATACAAATATGTTGAAAAAATAAAAATAAAATAAAAAATAAATATAAGTATATATAAAATACGAAGAAGTTGTCAGATACAGAAATAAAAGATAAAGAAAATAAATACATGATAAGAAAATAGATAAAAGAAAATAAATACATGAATGTTAACGAATAAATGAATGTTAACGAATAAATAGATTGAAAATTGAATAACTTTACTGTAACAATAGTTATTCAACTCGACTAACTCCTTCTCTGATAATATTTAACGTAAATCACATGCTTTCAAGGAAATTAAATGAAATTTACTGACAAAATGTAAACTTTAAAAAATATTTTTACGTCTGTAGAAAGTATTTAAAATCTACCTAAGCAAGTTAATGGCATTGTTAAAAAAACTTTTTCATTGTACTTATGTGAAAGAAGAAATAAAATATAAAATCATTTCATGGATGTATATATCATGTGTTTATAATATTAAATACATTTACTGTAGTTTAGTGATGATTTATTAAATTTTAAATTGGTCCACAATCGTCTTATCTTTTTAATACATTCAAGGAATTGGTGTGTCATATATGTGTGCGATGTTGTATTGTGTTCCTGGCGTTTGAGAATTTAAAGAGAAAAAAGGCATTTTTTTTTTATCTTGGGAAAGTGTTTATTATGCTATGTCTATTGTTTAATATGGTTTATTGTTGATAATTTGTAAGAGTATTGTTATGAAGGGGGAGAAAAAAAAAGAGAAAAATGTAATATAAAATTAATGTCCGTATGGATTGTTAAGCATGCTGTGTACGAAGCAACCCTAAGTAGTAGGGCAGCATTACTTTTAATAAAGTATTTCTCTATAAATAATTAGGTATTAAAGTTTGTTCCAAAATATTGTCATATAACTTTTTAGAAAACTGAATTAGTGAATAATTCGATAGATCTTCCCTTTGTGATATTCCACTACTATTTCATTGTACTTATGTGAAAAAAGAAGTGAAATATAAAAATATTTCATAGATATGTTTATAACCCTAAATATATTTACTGTAGTTTAATAACTCTAGATCTCATAATATATTTAAATATTTAGATATCTATCGTCCGTTTATTCCGAAAAATCATCATGTAACCTTTTAGAAAATTAAATTAGTGAATAATTTGATAATTTTTCTCTTTGCGATATTCCAACAGAATCCACTTACAATTAGTGTGACAACTTTTAACCTGTCTATGACAGACAATGCAAATCTCTTAATTCCGTTTTAATAAACTTTGCAATGGAAAATAAAAGTTTAATGACTTATAGTCGTACAATCCATAATCAACGAATCGTGCAATCCATAATCAACCGGTGATATGATAAATAGGACTTTTGTTATTTTAATAGCATTTGTGATTTGTTAGCTTTAGCTCAGTTTAAAACATTTTATAATAGCCCAACATGGCCAGAAAATAATTTTTGTTCAAAGTTCAAAGAGTAAGTGAAAGTTGTGTGTTGCGCGCACCAGATTTTTTTTTTTTTATTTATAAAAGGCTGACGGATAATTGTCCCAGAAACATATTTAATTTAAATATTAGGCTTTTTTTTTGCGATGTAATTGTATTATTCCATTAGCATATACGCACTAGCTCGGCAGTAATACCTAGTCTCAAGGATTAAGACAACCAATGCTTGCCATTAGTATATAGCCATCATTTGTCGATATTGGTTCTGTGTACTGGGCATAAGATCTTCCCGCACCCTCACCATTTGCTTGAGCTCTGTACTCACTTCTCTGGCCTAGCGCCATCTTGTTCACCCCACCCGAGGGTCTTCGATCGAGATCGATATGCATATCGATCCCCCCCACCATCAACTGCTTGACATCACCAGCTGGTATATGAGGTAACCTCGTTGGAAGTAGAGTTATCTACTCAATACTGAGACTTTCATTTAATTTTTCTTCTTAATGGCATTATATAATTATTAGAGGCTTCTTATTCATTTTTAAATACATTGTATACATTTAATTTAAGTTTTTTGTTTCTTAACTCATTTTATTTTGGAAGTTTATTTATTTAGGTTATATTTATAGACATTCATTAATTTTATTGAGGTTTTTCATTTTATGTTTGTTTAATTTGGTTATAATTTTTTTCTTTTTTGTTCAACTTCATTTATTGATTTTATTTTAAATTTATCTCTGCTTTATTCAATATAATTTTAAAGGAATTATTATAATTATTTAATTATTTTAAATAATATGTTGTACCATCTATAATTTTTACTTTCAGTTACTACCAGCTAAATATTTTAATAGTAGTATTACTTTATTATGGGCACTAATGACTTAGATGTTTATAGACTAAAACATCAAGTGAGGAAAAGATCTATTTTTACTAAAAGTAGGGCGGTAAGTGAAAGTTGTGATGCATGCACTATATTATTAAAATAATTCCACAACTTGACCTTTACTTGTCCGATCAAGTTTCTATTTATGAATTTACCTCAGGAATGAAAGTAAAAATGAATGTTAAAAATAAATATGCTGCCTATAAAATTTATAATAAAAAATATTGAAATCAAAACTTTTACTAAAATCTTTGAAATGATTTCTACTTTGTTTAAATAATAGGGTATATAAAAAAAAAAAAATGACCATTTTCAACCAAATATTTGTATTATTATTTCTTTGATATAAAATATAATTAATACTCAAGGTATAGTCCATTGTTATATACCGTCATTAGCCATCTGCAAGCCAATTGCTCGATCCCACTCCGATACCAATCTTTGGGATGGCTATCATAGAACTTTCGAATTCCGCAAAATTATCAAATTTTTTCTCTTGAAGAAAATGGACCACGGATCTAAATAAGTAGTAATCCGATGGTGGCGAGGTCTGGACTATATGGTGGTACTATAAAATCTCATATCAGAAGGGTTATTCAATACATTTTCACAAAGTTCTAACATCTTAGCTGATTGCTCAGGAGTAACTTCATGAGGGACCAGTCTAATGCTCTTTTTCACCTTCCCTATGTGAAGTAGATGGCAACTAACAGTATCTTTCGACACACCACACTCTCTTACTAGTTCGGAAGTACTTGTGGACGGATTTGACTCAACAGCTTCCTGCAGGACCTCATCAATATACATTAATGGTCGCCCAGATCCCTTCTTGCTTTCCTACTTCGTTTCTTCACTGCTAAATTTTTCAAACCAACAAGTGCAGTGCGCTGGTTAAGGAGACCTTCTCCTTCATATGTAATTATTTCACGAGTTCCTTCAGCGTCTGTGAAATTTTCTTTCTAGCAATACCTTAAAATTGCGAGAAATTTGTAAGACACTGTCATGTTTCTTCTTTTAAAAAAAAAACTAAACTGAGACTTTTTTTTTTTTTTAAGAAGTCAAATGGGACTAAACAAGTTTAGAGAATGGTCTAAATATATTATTAAGTATTGGCAAGTATTAAATAGGATTAAAATATTTACAGTCCTTTGAAATCTTGAATTTGATAAAATAATCATTTTTTTTTTAATACTCCCCCTATTACATTGTTTAAAAATGAAAATTGATAAAAAATCTTTGAATGCGATTCTTTTTTGTATTTAGCTAATGCATTTTTCTGTTCCAGTATTTGGAGGAATTGAAACTTAAGAATGCTCGTATTATTATCGCCGATGTAAAAGATGATGCTGCTAGGTCTGTAATGTGTGAAGCATATCATAGGAAAATGACTGCTTATGAAGGTTGGGTTTGGTTTTTACCACATTGGCTTTCTCCAAAATGGTATGAAATTCCATCAAATGGAAATAAAACCATTAAATGTACTACACAAGAAATGAAAAGGGTAAGAAATTATTATTAGCTATTAACGATGATGGGCTTTGTTAAAATTAATTAAGTAGTAATGATTAGATTATGAAATTATAGAAAAGTCATTTTTAGAGTTGTTAGTTTTGTTTAATTTTTCTAAATGAATTAATGAATATAAACATATTTAATTAGAATATATTTGAAGCATTAGAGGGAATAGCAATGAGTGTCATTTTTCTGCATGATGCAGATTAGCTCATCTTGGGCCCTATTAGTTATTTTAAACTGCATTGAAGAATTATTTGTATTTTTAATCGGGTGTTGATGTTTATCACTTTATAGAAAATAGTCTATGATGGAAATTCATTATTTTCCCCTTATCCTTGATTGATAAATCATTAATAAAAGATTTAATATAGTTAAATATTATTATTACGTCACCAATCCCCTCAATAAAGTTAACAATTTTTTTTAAACATTTAAGTGTTAAAAATTTTGTTCTATAGGCCATAAACGGTTACTTTGCTCTTACTCACCAATATTATGCTGCTGATAATGAAAAAATGCAAGAAAATTTAACTGTCGGGGAATGGAGAGCCAAGTATAGAAAGCGGCAAAATAATGGATCTGAAGAATCAAATTACGGTGGATATGCTTATGATGCTGTTTGGGCTTATGCATATGCACTTGATAAACTTATTAAATACAATGAATCTTATGCATCATCTTTACATATAGAAAATACTACTAAGTAAGTTTGTATATTATTTCATTCATTAAAAGCTATACTGTTTTCTAAGTTAGTTACAATTCTAGAAATTTATGAGTTAATAACCTCCTCAGCCCTTTTCGATACTCGACGAGCAGTAAAAGATTGTAAATTATACTACTCTACTTATTTTATTAATGTGCATGATTATTTTAAAAATTATAATATATATGTGATAATTTTTAGTCTTTATCTATTATAAAAAGATATTATAATAATCCATTTTCACTACTAAAGAGAACTGAATGTCAATTGTCATTTACATTTACTGGAACTTTCTAAATTATCATAACTTTTTTTTTTAACATTCTAATCTTACATGCTAAATCCAGTTTGTTATTTTTCATCAGACTAATGAATACATTACAGTTTCTAATCAATTATTTATAAAATGCATTGTATTTCAATCCATACTGTAATTGTACCACATCACTTATGGTATCTTGAGATTTCCACAATTACTTGCTCTAATAAGTTGCAGTATTTCAATATCAACAAATATTTTACTTAACGTTTATGGTACCCTGTTAACAATTAACAGATACTGTTTATATCTTTTTAATCCTGAAGAAGACCTACAATGTAGGTTGAAACGTTGGACAATGCAATAAACATACTATTATGTAATATAGTATTTTATCTATTGACCTCCCCTCTATCTTCTTTTGAAGTTAGAATCTATGGTCAACCATCTCCACATCATTATAAAAATTTATATGTTTTCGATAAAAGGCGAATTAGTTAAAAATATCATTCTTTTGCTAAACATGAAGATTGAAGTTTGAAGGCTTTTATACTTAAATTTCCGCCAGTTGGCCTTCACCAAAATACAATTTAACAAGTCTATAAACACTCCACTATCCAACAGGATGAATCAATAATATTTTTGTTTTATTTCAGAAAATTTGTTGAATTAATACAGAAAACAAATTTCACGGGGGTGTCTGGCCATATTATGTTTTCTTCAGGACCATCAAGGATATCCAATGTGAATGTTCTGCAGTGGATTGATGAAGACCTACACATTATTGGCAGTTTTTATCCTAATACAAATGACAAAAATAATAGTGAATATGCTTTAGGAAGGTAATCATAATATTACAAAAAAAATAATTCCTCAATTGTATTGGTGGTCCAAAGGCAAAATCATGAATGTGAAAAAAATCAAACTTCACTTTTGACCAAAGTTTAATAATATTTTTTTGTTAATTTTCTCATGTTAGAAAAATCATGAATATGAAAAGTGAACCTCTGTAGGTCATTTGTATACATACAATAAGGAGGATGTGATTTATTTGATTATTAAAAGCCAAAAGAAACTTCAAACCTCATTATCTCAAAATTAGGAATTTGCATATTTGTGGGTTAGCCTCTGGAGAAATGACATATTAATTTTAAAAAGTCATCAAATTTATATACAATACATTCTCATTGGTGATATAATATGTTTTTTAGCTTAAAACTAAACGTAAGCCAGATAATTTGGCTTAATAAAGATGGTACTTTGCCTTGGGATGGAACTGTGGAAGCAGATAGATGCCTCCTTGAGGGGTTCGCTAATTTAATTCAGTCTACCTGCCAGACGGCAATAGTTGTTGCTAACATCATTGGAATTTTTTTCCTTCTTCTTATTGTTGTCATCAGCTTCTTGATTGTGAGACATAAGTAAGTTCAACTTTAACTTATCTTCTATGATGCCATTGAGCTTCATTTTGATTCACTCATGATTTGTTTAAATAAAAATGGTACATTCTATTATTATTATTATTGTTTTTTTATAGGTATGAGAAAAAAGTTAAAATTACTCAAAAGTATATGAAATCATGGGGTATTGATCTATTATCAGCCAGTACTATAAACAGTTTAGACAAGTGGGAAATCTCACGAGATAAAATTGTAATAAACAGAAAACTTGGAGAAGGTGCATTTGGTTTTGTTTATGGTGGGGAAGCACATTTGAATGAGAAAGGATGGGTAATATTTTCATTTTTTAAATAATAGCTGTATAGATAGATTTTTGCATAGTTATAAGATAAATGAATATACGACCAATTTGATTGTTTACTTTCTATGCCTATTAAATGACTTCTTGATAATTTATGTGGTGAAAGGTTATATTATTGTTCTACTTCGTGTGATTGAAAAATTTATTTTGTTGGCTATGGTTGCTGACCATGTAAAGGCATTCCTCAGTTTAATTTCCTCGAGTAAGAAGTGGCATTAGTTCCAATCCAGTCTGGGTGGGTTGAAATTTATTTTTTGGTGGACCCATGAAATGAATTTCAACCTTCCCACTTTGGCTGGAATATATTGGTTACTTGTAGAATAATCCATCTTTCCTACCCTAGTTGGAGTGCACAGGATGTGAAGCCCCTTAATCAACAATCAAATTTTTTATTTTAAATATTTTTAAAATTAATGGCTTGTCTTGTATTTACATGCAGGTATCTTGGTGTCTACTAAGAGATACATTCTTTTAACTGCTCTTTACAGTGTTATAAGTACTTCCCAGACCTCTTCCATCAGATTCACATGCTTTCATATTTTTTTCTGTGAGAAAATATGATTAATTAATTTGTTTTTCCAAATGCTTATCCAGTATCCTGTTATAAGTATAATCTATAGCCCATTTAAGTAATTTTATGGGCAAAGAAGAATTAATTAATTAATTAAATTTATTTTTTCAATCTTTGATAAAAAATGTTTTACATCTTTTGAAAGCATAGTTCTACTTATATCCTGTGTATTCCAACATATCATGGAGCTACTTGATTAGAACAAAGCTGTTTTAATATTTCAAGGAGTGTTGTTAGGATCTGGAATCTTTAAATTCTCCTCCAAGACAATTTAGTCCTTAAACTGATTCATTTTTTGTTGTTTAAAAGGAATCTTTTGCATGGATAAATAAACATGATATTTTTAATATATGAATAAGTGGAATATTTTAAGGAGTAATGTTAGATGGTCCATTCCTCTAAAGAGGAAAAAAATATTACAGTTTATTATAATAAATGTTAATATTTTCTGTAACTCTTATTTATCAAATAATTATTTGTTGATAATATGTTATGTTTTATTGATTTCAAAGGTTGCTGTGGCTGTAAAGACATTAAAAGTAGGCTCTTCAACTGAAGAAAAACTCGATTTCCTTGCTGAAGCTGAGGTAATGAAGAGATTTGAGCATAAAAACATTGTTCAGCTTTTAGGTGTGTGCACCAAAAATGAACCAGTTTACACTATAATGGAATTTATGCTTTATGGTAAGAACTTATGCTACTTCTAATATCTGTATCTCTCTTTAGCCATAAACCTTTCTAATTTTTGGATAAGTTTTCATTATATTTATTTAAAAATTGGTGAGATTATTGATATCGCCATTGAGCCTTCGAGTTCGCTAAGCCATTTATTATTAATATTAAATCTTACAAATGTTTCACATATTTGGGTTTCTTATTTGAACAACTCGCTACTTATTATAATTTTGGAATAGAATTATTTTTTAGGATTTATTACTGTAAAATAATGATCCAGTACCTATCAATGTGGTTCAATTGTTTGATGTACCTAATAATTATAATTGTAATAAACTCTTCTTTTAGGTGACCTGAAGACATTTTTACTAGCTAGGCGACATTTAGTAAATGAAAAATATCCTGACGAAACAGATGAAATATCTTGTAAGAAGTTAACAAACATGGCATTAGATGTAGCCAGAGCTCTATCCTATTTGGCTGAACTAAAATATGTTCATAGGTAAGTGAATGTGATTTCTTATTAATACATTATACATAGGTAAAATGTGATTTGAAACTGTTTTTCAGTTTCTTATTAAAGAATAAAGTTATTGTTTAAAATAAATAAATCTATTTTCTTCAGGGATGTGGCATCCAGAAATTGTTTGGTAAATGTGAATAAAGTGGTTAAACTTGGTGATTTCGGAATGACACGTCCAATGTGTGAAAGTGATTATTACAGATTTAACCGTAAAGGTAACACAATTTTGTTCATTAAGTTTATGCAAATAATGTTTTATATTTTTAAAACTGTTTGTATAATTGAATCTACTCTTTTTTTTTTATTACTTAGGAATGTTACCAGTAAGGTGGATGGCACCAGAATCTTTAGTTCTGGGTGTTTTTACTCCGGCTTCAGATGTTTGGTCATACGGTGTACTTCTGTATGAAATCATTACATTTGGAAGTTTTCCATTTCAAGGGTTATCTAACAACCAAGTATTGGAATTCGTCAAAGCAGGAAACACTCTGTCGATACCAGAAGGAATCAAGCCTCAGTTGTATGTTTATTTTATTAGCTTAAATTTATTTTTTTTATTTTAATGGAGTAACTTGATGACTTATATAACTTAATAGTTGTCAAAAACAAAGTTGAAATCTATTCACATAAGAATGCTGCAATATATTCTTCTGCCAGATATTCCAAAATAATGAAGAGGTATTTCCATTTTTAAAAAAAATATTTGTATAACTCCTTTATCAGAGTTTATAAAAGTATCCTTTGTTCAGTTTCCATTGAACTAATAATTAATATCTTGTAAAAGAAATAAAAGTTTATGTATGATTATAAATTAAGAAATTTATGGAAATTAAAAAAAAATTGATGAAAATAACATAAAAAAAAATTATTTTGGTGTGCAACTTGAATGATTAATAAGTATTTTTATTTTTTGAAAGCTCTAAAATCTAAAGTTTTAAATTTATTCAATATTTATGGAACGGGGAGGAAATTTTACAGAATTTATTTACACTTCTTCTATCTGAAGAATTACATAGTGGTTAACCATTGCTTATATGTTTTTAAATAGAGAGTGCCTGATCAAGTCTTGTTGGCATAAAGAGTATAAAAAACGACCTCCAGCTTCTGAAATAGTTGAATTCCTTGCCAATAATCCTCGTCTTCTATCTCCATGCCTCGATGTTCCCCTGTCCTCGGTACAGATGGAAGACACAGGTGAAATTTCTATTACTGGAAGCAGGGGGCAGAGATTTTCAATGGGTCTAAGGCAAAGATCTTCATCACATGAGATTGCCGAACCTCTTTTACCGTCACCTGGCAGGTGAGTAATAATTTATTTACTTTTATGTATAAACAAGTAATATAAACATTAAAATATTCTAGTTTATTATATACTTAAATGTATATATAAAAGACGATTGATAATCAGAAGACTGTACAGATATTTAGTGTATTAATGTCAATAAAAATGTTTATAATCAACCAAGAAAAAGGGTTTTAACTCCACTGTCTCAAAAATTATTCTTATTTCTATATTATATTTAACATTTGGTGACTGACCGATGTCCAAAATAAGGCCAACTTGGCCTTGATTTGCTGAGGTGTCTACAATACTTTAATATGAACTGTTTTCAGTCATGATGACAAGCATAGAGAATAGAATACATATAGAGCTGATTTCAAGCTTTTAGCGTTGCGGTTGGGGTATGTTCTTATCTCCCCACCACAAGGATACTCACCATGTCTGCTAGCTCTTATGATTTCAAGATATCTTAGCTTGTTTTTCAAGTATAAACCTAAAAATTATCGTCTGGCATAAACATTTTATATATTGGTCATTAGAAAAATGTAAGTGGAATAATTTTCTGTAAAAATGACATTGTATTTTGAAATCTATCTGCCTTTATTAGCTTTGATTTTTTAATAGAAATCTCTATAGGTGTGCTTATATTTGTATAATTCTGGATTTGTTACTTTACAATGTTTACAGATTTATTGGCATTAAGCAACAATCATAAAAATAATAACTGCTAAAAATATTTTTGAAATTTGTTGGGAGGAGGAAATGCTAGGAATATTACAGGTATTAAAAAAAGCTTTTACTTTCAATAAAGAAACACAACAAATCATCAAGTTTATAATAAATAAAAAGAGATTCATTAGCTAAACTTATAAAACCCGCTGATAAAATTAAATTATTTACTTTCCTTTGGAATGTATTATTTTTTTTAGTTTTGTCTCACTTTTTTACTTTCATTCTGATTTTTCACTCTGATTTTTTTCTTTTACATGTTTTTAAATTCTTATTTTAAAATAAATTTTGCCAATATATACACTCTATTAATCAGTATTTGTGGTTATCCTCCAAATTTATGGAAAAATGAGATATATCTATTAAAAAATTCATATTCAAACAGTGTGAAAGCAATTTGTTGATATAATGTTTTTAACAAATTTGTAAAAGTCGTACTAAACAATTGTTTTCATTAATTAGACTGACCTGGGTAACATCTGAAGATGGTTGGATTAGGCCTCCTCGATTTTTATCAGAAACTAAATTTTGAGATAGATTTTTATTTTATCATCTAACATCGCTTGGATACATCCTTACAACGTACCCTAGTGAATTTTCCAAATAGTTATTAAAACAATACATTTTTGTATAGGTTTTATAAAAAAATTATGAAACAAACCAGCAATGTACTCGACGATGTCCAAAATTAAATTCGAAAAAAAAAAATTAAAATATCGCCAAGATGGTCAAGCAATAATATATTTGTGATATAACGATGTTGAGCCACACAATGGTTGTTGATTAGAAATGTTGTACTGAGTTTAAAACAATATTTATTTTATCTCAAGATGTAAAATCTTATAGTTTGCAATTACTAATATTTTTTGGTTACAGGTTCTTTTTAAAAAACTCTGGTGTGTCCACTCACACGACTTTCCTACCTATTTCAGAAAAGTTTTTATATCTTTACATATGTTCATGAAGAAACAAAAAAGAATTGAACTAGATAAATTTTCCTGAAAATTGATCAAACATAAGATAAGAGTACGATTTACTTGATAAACTAAAGCAATGTAAACCGGCTTAAGGTAGTTAATTTCTGTTAAATGTAGAGGAAATAGTGAAGATTGTGTGATGTGGGCAACAGATTTTCTTACATTCACTTAGTCATCTTTATTCTCTCATTCACCCCTTTCTGACACCAGGATATTAAAACGTAATCTTACATTGGAAATTGAATAGCCGTAACTTCGTTAATAGTTGTCCAAAATGAACGATTTTTATATGGCTTTGTAGGGAATTTCATTACCTTTCAAACGACAGGCTGAACGGCTGTTTTCGGACGACCGACTGAAATTGTTTTGTTTTTGGACTCAGGTGCTCTGAAACATATAGATCCTTTTACCGTATAACCTATACTTAGGGAGTTAGGCCCCATAACATTTTTCTTTTCTTTATAACTTTTTTTCCTGAATTTTTTCAGGAATTTAGTCTATACACGAAAATTGAAAGGACAATGATTAGAAGATTATAAAAAAGTTTCATCAAAATCGTTAGAGCCGTTTTTGCGCTACAGTATATAGAAAAACATCTTTTTCATTTATTGCACATGGAGCACCGAATTTCTGTCACAGGCATCGGTAGTCAAAACCCTACAAAATAAAAAAAGAAGCAACAAAATCGGTTCAGTAGTTCCCGAGAAAATCTTTGCACAGACAGACTAATGGCTAAAAATGTGTTTTTCAGACTCAGGGTGCTCTGAAACTGAATAGATTCGTAGAAAACCGCATGTCGGAAATTTGACCCAAATGCAATACTTTCCTTACCTAGTATAGGTAGGAAAGTAAAAATGCAGGAAAGAACAAATTAAATACTTGATTTTAAGAAATTTGGTACTGTGTTAGCCAGTCGTTATGGATTCCTATCCACCATTGTTTATAACCTGAACGCTGATAATTATGATCCTGATAATACCTACCTTCTTATTTATATTTATGGAAATTGAAATGTAATAATAACAAAACACTTTTATTTTACAACATTTTATGCATTTTGGGAGACAAAGTAGCTTATTGCTATTTGAGTGAGAATATAAATAACACTTTCAATGAATGATTTAATGGAGGTAATATTTGATTATTAATAACTTACCAATGAAAATATTCTTCATCTTTCTGATTACAAAACCAAACCTATGCTCCTAATCATTTTATAAAATTAAATTAAACCCTGTAGAAACAATATTTGATCACAAACAAATAAATATTAAAATAATTACATGGTTTAAATGTTAAATAGTGATAAAAAGCAAGGAAAACTCCTTGGGCAGTATCAGGGTTTTCAGTTTTAAGTATCTGTGGGTACCTTTGGAGGATCTGGGCAAATACCTCTTCCCTCCATGACCACTCTAGTTCATTCTATAATCTATGGTTACAATGTTACACGTCCTTTCCCCTCTTACCAAGCAGTCCATCTAGCATTTAGTCCATCCGAGACCTTGATTTAATAAAATAATTGTTTAATCATACACCAGCTATTTTTTTTATTTGACCTCATGAAGTTGCTAAAAAAGTGTTGTTGGTATATTAATTGTCACATTACTTTTATGCTGGTTTATGTACTTGTTTATAATAATATAAACATGGTTATTTTTTAAATTGATTATTTTCATTATTCCTATGGATCATACTCTCAAAGAAAAATTACTTGTATAGTCTGTTTTCCTATCATTACTCTTATGATTTACTTATGATGAATTAAATACAACATTGTTGAGATATGACAACTGTTATTTTAATATTTTATTTTGAAGTAATTACTGTGTGTTGATTGACAGGTATAGACCAACTAGAGGAAGTTCATTAGGAGAGGAACCTCAAGATTCACTTCTTTAGTAGCTGCAACGAGGGCATTGTTATCAACAAGGATTTCGTCTCAAAGCCAACCTTGTTTATTAGTATGATCTTCAACTGCCTGATATGTATATATATATATTTTTTTTTTATTATTTATTACTATTTTTCTTTTTTAGACTTTTCTGTTAGAAAAACAATTTTATCAACAACTTATTTCAATCTAAGTAATTCTATAAGGAAACTATCTTATATTTTACTGGAAACTTATTATATTAATTTAATAAATTATTAATATTTTTTAATTGATAATTTTTCATTGCTAAACTACTATAATATTTTTGCTCAATTTTTTTTTTAATCAAAAGCATCCACTAATTATAAAATTAGTTTTTACTACAAATTATTTTTTCCTTTGTTCTAAAAGTAATATTATATAGGTAATAAAAATGGGTTCCTCTTAAGTAAGTTTTTTAAAAATTTAGTCACATAATCAAATTAAAGTGGATTCCAATTTACAAAATGTAATATTTTTCATTACATTAAAATATATTATGATATATAGGCTTGTATTTTTATCTAGCTCTATACAAGAAACTTTAAATTTTACTTTAAAAACAGTTGGTCTTATAAAACATTTCTACGTAGTGTTTATTAAATATTTTGGCCTAATATTATTGAGGTTAAAACTATTTTATTTGATTTATCAAGTCATAAACTATTCATATTTCACCCAGAATTTCAAAAAAATTGTTTTTTAAATTTATTTCAGAGCATAGCTATGTTGGTATGTACAGTTAAACCTCTCTATATCAAACTAGATTCTTAAAAAAACGTTTACCTAAGAATAACTTTTTACAACTGACTTACATATTTATATAGTATAAAAATAATCATGGGTAAATTTGTATGCTTAAAATAAACAAATAAAAATTTAACTTTTAAAGACAAAAATGATGGATCCTACATAAATGTTTAATTATTACTGAATGAACATTATTATCATAGATAAAACCATGCTATTTTTTTTTTTAACCCCAATGTTTTTGTATGATATACAAACATTTCATTTGATCTAACAAAAAGTTATTTTTAATTAAAAATTCAACTTACAAGAAAAAAAAGTTTAATATATATTAGGTTCAGCTGTACTATCACTAAAATCAGGTATTGTATTTATAACATAGCTGGAATGTTACCATTCCTTAATAAAAGCTTCTGTTATTTTAAAATATTTAATACCAAATTGTTAAATAAAATATCAATATTTGAATACATTAATTCATAATTTTTACTTTATTTAAGAAGTCTTAACATTTTTTAAAAAATATAATGAAACATATCATTAAGCTGTATAAATATTTTTAAATGTAAATCTTGCGCGAGTTACTGATACTAGCTAGAATTTAAAGTTTTATGTTTAAATATTAGTACAATTTTATCTATTTAAAAATTGTCTGAGTTCTTAAACATACGATTTTTTTTTTTTTTTTACAAATCTCTTTACTGTTGCAAACATTTGAAAATAATGTAATATATACCTTAGCTCTGTTCATTTTCATTCTGACAAGCATACTTATTCGTGTATGTTTATGTTAATTTAAAAATTAATAAAATAAGTTACAATTATGTGTCAATGGAACTGAATTTACAAAAAAACAAATGACAATTTTAGAATCATTTTCTAAAGAAATAAGTTATTAAAATAATATCTACCTCGATGTACATCACTTGTTTCAGTGTTTTAGTTTTTAATTGTTATTAATATTATTTCATTTAGAAAAAGGATATTGTATATTTTTTTATTGTATACACATATTACTCACTGTCGTAAATTTATTTGTAGTATTAGATTATTGTTTGAAAGATATAAGTGAAAAAGGTTTGAAGTATCTTGTATCTTCCATAATTTAAAATATATCAGCATTTTATTATAACAGGACTTTAGATTTTTTTTGTTTTGTTTTTCGTTTGTACAATGTTATAGTCATCTGCTGTGCAGGGAATCTTTGTAAATAAAAACTGTCATATAATAATTTAAAACATGAATTAAATATAACAAAATAATAGTTTATATCAAATGTATTTAATATATGCTATAATTGTGTTATAATTATAAATTATTGATTCATATTTACGAGAAACCATTAAGCAAAAAAATTAAGTCTGAATCCTTGCCCTTACGATTCGATTGTTAATTAATTGTCACTTTAGTGTTTAGAGTAAAATTGATCTAGTAAAATATTTAATTGGGATTAAAATTATCACAAACTCTATTAACATAAAAGAGTTATGTGTTAGAATTATTGTTATTATGTTGAATCTAAATTATACATTATTTATAAAAACACTCAATATCTCAGAGCAATCCAATTGAGTTTGTTCATTTTCATTCTTACAGGCTCAATATTATGAGTTCTATTTTGAGATTAGGTTAGTTTAGAGAGTTTCAAAAACATGCGTTTTTAAAACAATTAATTTTGAATTACCATGTAAAAAAAAAAAAAAAAAAAAAATGAATTTCTGAAATAAGTTTAAACTTAAGAGCTCCAATAACTCTCAATTTAGAAGTTGATATTATATTTGTAGATGAATATTTTAAGATAAATAAAACGGTGGGGTCTCTTTTAATGGTGTTTTAAATAATTATACTTTCATTTCTTGTTATTAATATCTATATGTTCTAACCGCAAATTATTTTATATGTATCTTAGAATATATGAAGAGCTAAAGTTCCTTAAATACCAGTGGAAATTAATTGTTCTTACCCAATATTTGGCTAAATATTAAATTGTAATAAAATTTCAAAAATAATTGGTACCAAAAAATTAAACTAAAAAAGGCTAATTTATTTCTATTTTTCCTCGCTGTTTTTAGAGTAGTTTTAAGTATTTTTTTGTAATAGTTCAAAAGAAATTATTTTAATACATAAATTTAAAATTGTTAAAGTAAAAATCTTTTATATATTATATATATATATATATAAAATAGAGGGTTGTGATAATTTTTACCAAATGTTTTGCTCAAAGGATGCATCCTACATCCCTGTATATTTCATCTTGTATAATGTAATTTCTGTGCAATGCAAATGCAATACGTAATAGGTTAAAAGATGTTGACGTCCATTATAATGTAATATTATTAGTATGGCTTTTCATTTATTATTTAGGTTGCAGTGATAAATATTAGATTAAACTGTCAAATATTTATAAATATCTAAGCTACTTCATACTAGTTTTTTCTTTCTTTTTAAATGCACTTAAGTTAATTGAAAATTGATTTTTGTGTATTTTAAGGCCACTATAATGCAAGGCTTTAGAGCATTGAAATTGGTGTCTGATATATTGGCCTGTTTTATGTACCTGAAATTATTTAAGCTCCTATTTAATTTATAAGGAATCCAAAGGGAATGAATGTTAAGATGTATTATTAATCTTTGAAATTTAGTTTTTACTGTTGATGTATTATTTAAGAAAACTATGTTAATGGCAAATCTTTATGTTGCTAGCATATTTACTTTAATTCTGTGTTTTTTTATTACAACATAATGTTGATATTTAACCTTAATTTATGGATTCATAGCTAATGTATTTTTTGTAGTATGAAAAAAAGTAAGAAATAAAAAAAAAATTAAAACACAGAGGCTTTAAAAGTGAGGTGAATATGCTACTGCAACATAATGCATATATTAAATTATATTGATGCATTGTTTATTTTGTTAATAAGAGTTATTTTTTACTGATTGGTGATTCATTCCACCTCTGCTATGTTAGTGCCATTTAATTACTATTTATTTTATATTAACAAATGGCTAAAATAAAATGGTTTTGTACACTTTTATTTTATCTTTGAATAACCTATTTTCCTTTTTAAAAATGTATTATTAATATACAATTGATCCAATATTCTAATATAACTTTTCTATTTTTTCCATTACTGTAATATTTGAAGGGTAAGAGAAAAAAAAAAGTTATTGGTATTGTTCAATTTAGAAGGGAAAGCCACATTTTCCCAAGGAAATTCTTTATCCATAATTTTACCAATTATTTTATATTTATTTATTTTTGAATATATTTTGGTAGGCATGACCTGAATGTCATACACAGTATCTAGAAGTAGTTTTTAAATAAAAAAAAAATCGATAAAGAATTATCTATCGAAAGAAAACAGTTGTCCGATTCTGCTCATACAAGAGCTCCAATTAATATAACAAAACAATAGACTACAAAGAGGTAGAATGGCTGTAATCGGATCTTAATAGAGATTCTATCTCTATTCTTTTACATCTGTGGCTACCATTGGAAAGGCATTTAATTATGTGCCTACAGGAATTCTCTTATGATAGTGTAAATAAAAGAAATTTCTGGTTAAAATAGCTATGATTTATTTCTAATAAAGAAATACATGATTTTTCTATTTACATCAAACACATTCATTCAACTTGGGTCAAGTCAAAATACAACTTATAAATAAGTTTTAGTGATGAGCAGCTTACAATTTATTTATGTTTCTTTTTCTATCTTTTAAATTACTTAAATCTCCTACATGATCAGCAGTAAACTCACTGACTAAAGAATAATTGAATATACTAAAACACTGACCAATGTTATTAAACGCAATAAATATCTGATATCTAAATCTGGCTAAAGTAGCTAACTCTGCCACTATACTAAGCAATTGTATTCGCTGCTCCTCAATCAGTCTTTACCGGGTATCTTTATGCTGTATAGTCCCATGCCAGTTTATGAGATTTCAAGCATCCCAGATTACACCCATCTAAGCCGTGGTCTGCCTCTGTACCTCAGTCTGGTAGAGCTTTCTGTTCAGTAACATTTTTTGAATCAAAGGCTAGGTGAAGGTACTCCGAAAATAAACCAGGGGTGGTCTGGACTCTAAGCTATGGTGAAAGCAACCAGACTAGGGGACGGAAACCCCAAAATCAAATGACCTGGTCCTCCAGGTTGGGGGTTGGGCGTGGGGCCAACAACCCTACCTTGTAAAAAAACAAACCCGTTATGAAACCTATAAATAGCAAGCTGGAT